CCATGATACCCAAAAGCCGAACCTTTGGAGAGATTAAAAAAGGCTATTTGGAAAGCTCACAACTGGTTCCAGAGTCTGAAAAGAAAACATGACATAAATTACAAAAAGAAAATCTCTTTCAGAACACTTTCAGGACAAACACTTGGTGGCACCAGAGGACCTCAATGAAAGTGCAAAAATTTTACATGAGATTACTATCAGAGCAAGGACAAACTGAACACTATACTCATTTAGCATTGATGGGGAAATTTTACTAAGATTGCTGAGGATGTCTCTGGTGCACATCTCATCTGTCACCAGCACTATTTTGGTAAAACTGTATTCTTATAAATCCAAGCCTCAGGGTCTCTATGAACACCTCCAATTGGATTTCCTAAAAATAACCTCTGCAATGGTTTCTGAATGTGTTCTCATTATTGTTTAATTCTTTTCAGATAGATAGAAACTTTTTCTTTACAGAGAGCTACAGCTCTGAGAGTAGAAAAAAATTATTTGATTTTGTGCTCCCAACCTAGGACCTCCAAATGACATAAGTACTAATTTTACTGGGACTTTTAATAGAGAACTTTACAAATCCTTGTCGTTTATTTAGAAACATCACTGTCCTCATCATACTCAATCTTGAGTAAAAGTAGAGAAGCTAAATATTAAATCTGGCACTCTTGAACTTACATTACTAAGAAGGCTACCACTGCTTGCAAGACCATGAAGTCCATACTCCCCTACACTTGGTTTTCATCATACAATCTTGTTAGAGGTTGCCCTATACAGATGGCTACTTCTCCCCCGATTTTGGACATTTCCTTAATTCAGATAAATATGGTAAAGTACTCCAAGAAACTCATGCAACATGCATCATAGACATCACCCACAAATGTAAGTTGTCTTTCTTCTACATGACCTAAAACTCAGTTATAATGTCTTCTGGAAATGACCCCACAGAGAAAAAAAACACCTAGAAACCATGTTGGAAATAATCCTATCAGGTTCTTTGCTAGCACAGTAACTAAAATCCAGGGCATAGATCCTTGGATTCATGTCTCCTAGATGAACAGACACTAGGTTTCACTTTCCAATACCTGGACTGCCTTTCCATCAAGAGATTTAAAACTAAGATGTCTTAAGAAAACTTCAGAAGCAGACTGTCTTCAGAAAGAAATAGCTTCCACCTGAGAGCTTTGGATCAAGATAACTAGATAATATAGACAGCCTCTACCCAAGACCTACAGAACAAGATCTAGATGAGGGGTCAACAAACTATGACCCATGGGCCAAATCTGACTAACTGTCTGTTTCTATATGGCCTGTGAGCTACAAATGGTTTTTACATTTTTAAATGACTAAAAAGAAAAAAAAAATCAAAAGAATAACAATACTTGAAATCACCTAAAAATTGTGTAAAATTTAAACTTCACCATCACCAGAAACAACTTTATATGCTATTATTACTCTTTATAAATCAGTACAGATCTTGATTGATCACATCCTAAATAACAGCAGTCTATTCTCCAGCTCAGGCTGAAAAGCAAAGGGGGTTTGAGAACTGAAACCACCTGCATTAATATAACAGCACTATTAGTACTAAGAGCTGATAATATCTGTGTCAACATAACTTAGTTTTTTGTTCCAGGAAATCTTTGCCCAGTAGATTTAAGTCTATAAAAACCAATAAATTATACCACTGTTTCAGGCAATTGTTGCAAAAGAATTTATCTGAGACAACTGTGTACTTTGGTAAACACCTGGTTTATCAAACAGAAGTTTACTCTCAAGACTAGCTTCAAGATCCTTGTGTTGCTACATACACCAATCCTAAAATATATCACAAAATTTGCCCAATCCCAATCAATGTCCTGTTTTAAAAGATCTGCCTACAGCCACTTGAGCCTAGACCCCCATAACCCTCTACATATTCCATAGTTGCTTTATTGATAGTTTGGTAATATTTTGGGGAATGCAACAAGGCAGTTCTAATTTACATGGCCAACGACATATGAAAGTTCCTGTTTTGCTACAAGATTGTAAAATAAGATAGGAATCTAGATTTACTTTTCTTCAGATGGAATCCAGCTCTAATACCATTTCTTGAATAATCTGTTCTTCTGCATTGATTTGAAAGCCACCTTTATCATTCATTTAATTGTCTTACGCATTTGGATCTACTTCTGGACTCTATTATCACTGCCATGCTATTTTAATTATTACAGCTTTATAATATGTTTAAGAATTGAGTGTGACTATTTCATCCTCTTCTTTTTCAAAAATTTCTCAGCCGGTCTTGTATGTTCATTTCCATATAAACCTTAGAATCAGCATAAGTACCCCAAATACGCTCTTAGTATTTTTAATTGAATTGTGTTAAACTCACTCATTAATTTAGGGATTCTGATAACTTTATACTATGTTGATGCTATCCAAAAATAAGATATGACTTTATATTCTGAAATCTGCTTTGAGATTTAGTTTGCACTTAATATTTACCTGTTCTTTCTCTCCGCACACAGGTCTGTGTAGAGAAATATAATCCAACCTGGTTTTACTCATATAATCCAACCCTGGTTTTACTCCCATATTCTGCACAACCTTATGGGTCTGTCTGGCCCCAAAATTCAAGTCATTTCTAGTTTGGTTTATCCTCTGTCACCTGAATTCTCATTCTGATATGTTACCCCCAAGTTCCTGTTTCGATGTTGACAAATGGTGAGAACAGGGACCATAATTAAACTTCCAATTTTTAGCTGTTAAGATTACTTTGATGGAAAGGCATCAAAGCATGGATGGAGAAGCACTATCATAAATGCTTCAATATAGATAAATATCATTAGAGAGAAATCAAGAGCTGATAACACTCTTTTATATTTGGTTACATTATATAACAATGAAACAGAGTAAGGCTAGGTCAGTGAACCAAACTGAATCCATTTTCCCTGCAGAGGACACTTTGTTATTTTTCCACTCCTCAGTCTTGAGACCCCCAGGGCAAATGATTACCCCATGGGCTGCCCTGACAAAACAGACTGAGATAAGAAAGGAAACAGATATTTACTGAGCCACAAAACCCCTCCCCAAGGCTTATTTACCATAATTGTAAAAGTTACAGATTAGCCGTAAGACCCCTTTAGGAATTCCCACCTGTGCACAAAGCATCAAGGTGACTGCTACAATGACCCTCCTGGGGTCACAATGATGAACACCACTGCCTACTGAGCACGCACCCATGATGCAACCAGGAAGAACTGAACGGACCACCTCCAGTGATGCCGGCCTGTACTCCTTAACTCCTCTCCCTACAAAAGACTCTAAACAGCTCCCCTCAGGGGGCTAGCTTTACTGTTGCTAACCCCCTTATGCATAAGTCTATCTCCTTTTTTAATAAAGTGTTGCTTTACTGTTGGGTACATTGTTCATTTCTATGACTTTGGAATCCGAGAGCCTAATTTTTTTTTTTTCCTTTTTTGTCTTTTTTACTGACTGGTAATAGGATCGCAACCCTCGGTGTCGCGCCCGCACCGCGCTCAGCCAGTGAGCGGGAACCGGTCTCCACATGGGATCCAAACCCTCAGCGGCAGCGCCGCCGCACTCTCAAGCGGCACACTCTCCAGTGCGCCACCAGGCCGGCCCGCAAGAACCTAATTTAATCACTGGCAAAAATTGGAAAGCTTTGGGCACCGGAGAGGACTCTAGCTGCAAGAGGCAAGTGGCCACTGGGACTATTTTGCTCCCATGTCTCTGCTGCTGGCAGATCTCTCCTGGAGTCCCTGGCCTAAATTTTGACAAGGCAATGCTTTATTCTCTTTACCTTTCTCTGATTTTCTGAGCCCTCTTCAGTTTGGTTGGATTGTATCCACTTCTGTATAGATGCACCCTGGAGGGCTCCTGGCTATGCTTTGTTTTTCTGATTTAAATCTACTCGATACTTTTCTTCTTTATGCTGAAAATAGTGGGGAGAACTGCTTTTATCAATTACTATTAATGGAATAGGTTGGCCCCACCAATTGGGACAAGGATAAACTGGACCCCACTGCTCCTCTTTTCTCTTTGTTTGTTTGCTTGGTTAGACATTTAGTTGAGTACCGGTAATCTGAATAAACCTTCCAATCCTTGCATCAACTTTTGGACTTTCAGGTCATTTGTTTAATGCGAGGGCAAGCTGAGCCTGGCCTGTCGATAATAACACCACCCTGGGAAAATATGGTACTAGTAAATGAGGTTTCACTGCTTTATAAATATTCTTACTGCCCTATACACACAATATGTATGTCAGATGTAAACAACTCATAATATGTTGGGTAAAATAGGAAAATGTCAGGGCCCCTCAGATGTTCAGAACCTTGCTGAGCATGTGCTGTAAATATCCTCAGGTGTTCCTTGTTACTACTTAATGTAAATTGTGTATGGGCACCCAGGTGTCCAGGGTTGTGGACTTAAGTATAAAAAGACTAACAGCTCTGATCCACAGTGCTGCTCAGAACTCTCAGAGAAGCCACTAGGATAGTTGCTCCTAGATCTGAATAAAACCCATTCATTTTTCTATGCCTTTGGCTCCCAGAACATTTTCTATTACTTAGCTCACAGACGTACGTGTGGAGGGTTTGTAACCCAATCTGTGCAACAGACTCGAGGGGTCTGTAAGCCCTAGCTTTACAATAGTAATATTGAGTCATCCTCAGTGTTATAACACCAAAAAGCCTATACAAAATTCTTATCCTCGGTTTTCTAGAAGCCCAAATGTTATCAACAGTCTTATTGGAATTTTCTCAAGGCTTTGTTTAGAATAAGGCACTACCCCCCAAAAATGTTTAGGAAATTAAAAATTAACTTTGCAATAAGGATTAGATATATTTTTATTTTATTTATTCATTCATTTTGGCAGCTGGCCAGTACAGAGATCAAACCCTTGAACTTGGTGTTATTAGCACCACGCTCTAACCAATTAAGCTAACAGGCCAGCCCTCTTTTAAACAGAAGCTAAAAATTCTAATCTGAGAAAAAATACTCACCTTTTGCCATTTGAGTTCTTGTGTCTCCACAATAATTTTACCAATCTGCTCTTCATATTGAGTTTCTGCTTCCTAAGTCAAAGAAAACAAAAAATGTTATAAAAATTAGGACTTTAAAACTTCCAGTTTTAGCTCTTTCTAGAGAGAGAGAATCAGCAGGCTCTCACCCTTACAAAAAGAAAAAATATGGACAATTTGCAAATTAAGTGGTCAAATCTATCAGAGAACTGAGGTCCCAGATCAATCAAGCAACCCAAAATCTGAATAGAGACAGGCGCGTACTGGGAGAAATAGAACTCCTGCATTTGCTTACCTGGGACATAAGCCACTGAGTACCAGTAAGATGATTCAGCTGAAAGTCCTTAATAAATTGCTAAGAGCAGAATGTGGGATACCATAAAAATGTGAATCCCCTCTGGAGCCCCTGAAATAGTGAGGTTTGTACCCTTTAGGTGGCTACAGGTAGGTTGTAAAGAATCCTGAGAAAGCTTTCCCCTGTGGCACTGGCTGTGGAGAGGAAGAGCAGTCACAAATCATCTTCCTTATTTTCGCTACAGACCTAAACCCTTAATCTGGAGGGGTAAGGGCAACAAAACTACAGCTAAGGACACTAGTGGAAATCCTCTGCAGCTGGGCAAGGGAACCAACAGTCACCACCAAAAACTCTACCTAGATAAACCTGTCTTCCTTATCTCCCCTGAGGAACAAAAGCCTTAGTCTCCAGTGGAAGGGCAATAAAACCTATAACCTGAGAGCATTTGTGGAAACCCACTATAGCTGGGAGGAGGCTGACCACAAAAACAAACCAACAAGCTCTATCTTTGGGGGAGGGGAAGAAATACATGCTAAGCCCAGCATTATCATATACAGTGTATATTGACAAAATAAAAATTTAACAAAAATAAATAAATAAATAAAAAATTTAAAAAAAAAATAAATCAACTATTTTAAATAAGCTCAATGTGCTGGGACCATTCTTCTTTGTGTAGTAAGACATAGGACTTACTACACAGACTTTAAATCAACTATTTTAAATAAGCTCAATGTGCTGGGAAAACAAACAAACAAACACCATGTACAAAAATACTGCAGCCACTAAAAAGATAATAAGGGAATGCTACAAACAAGTTTATACTCATAAATTTGACAACTTACAGAAATGGACTCCTCAAAAACCATAAACTACTAAAACTCAACCAAGATGATATGAATAATCTGAATAGTCCTATAACCATGAAAGAAATTGAATTTATAATTTTAAGGCTTCTGCAAAAGAAATCCCCAGGTCCAGATGGTTTCACTGGAGAATCATACAAAACATTTAAAAAAGAATTAACACCAATTTTAGAAGAGGAGGAACAAAATAGGAGAGGAGGAAACACATCCCAATTTATTTCATGAGGCCTGTTTATGATGATACCAAAACCGGCCATAGACAGTACAAAAAGAGAAAACAGACAAATTTCACTCACAAATTTTGATGCAAAAATCCTTAATAACATATTAACAAACAGAATCCAACAATGTATAAAAAAATTATACACCATGACCAGGTGGAATTTATTCCAGGTACACAAGGCTAGTTCAATAGCTGAAAATCAATCTGTGTAATTTACCCCATCAATAAGCTAAAGAAGAAAAATCATATGACCATATCACTTGACACAGAAAAAAGCATTTGACAAAATCCAACACCCATTCATGATAAAAACTCTCAGCAAGTTAGGAGTAGGGGAAATTACCTTTACTTTTTGTAAAGAGCATTTACAAAAACTCTACATTTACTATCATATTTAATGGTGAAAGACTGAATGCTTTCATTCTAAAATGGCAGGGATGTCTGCTCTCACTACTCTTACTCAACGTAGTACTAGAAGTTCTAGCCACTGCAATAAGGCATAAACAAAGAAACGAACAAGCAAGTAAGCAAATGGATTGGAAAAAAAGAAATAAAACTGTCTATTTGCAGATGACATGATTGTGTACATGGAAAGTCCTAAGGAACCTATAAAAAAAATCCAGAACTAATAAGTGAATTTAACAAGGTCACAGGATACAAGATCAACACACAAAAAATCAATCACATTTCTACATACTAATGATGAACACGAAGAAACCAAAATTTAAAATATAATAAAACTTATAACCATGTCAGAGAAAATGAAATAAGTATTCACTTAAAAAAAATGTACGGGGCCGAGCCCGTGGCGCACTTGGGAGAGTGCAGCGCTGGGGGCGCAGCAGTGCTCCCGCCACGGGTTCGGATCCTATATAGGGATGACCGGTGCGCCACAGCACTCACTGGCTGAGCGTGGTGTGGCCGGTCTCAAAAAGGACAAAAAAAAAAATGTACAGAATCTGTATGGTAATACACACAACAACATAGATGGATTAAAAACATACTGAATGAAAGTACCCTTATGTAAAAGAATATATGTATGTATGTTTTAATTTATATGAAATGTTAGAACAAATAAAACTGAGTGGAGAAAAAAATCAAAAGAGTGGTTACCTCTAAGGGAGGGAGTAGGGGTAGAATTTGCCTGGGAAGAGGCATGAGAGAACTTTCTGGGCTGACAGAAACATTTTATTTCTTGATAAGGGTTTGCATTATACATGTGTATGCATCTGTCAAAACTCATTGAATGTACAGCTAAGATTTGCACATTTCATTGTATGCAAATTTTAGTGCAAAAAGAGCTATAAACAAATAGTGAGCTCTGCTTAATGATATGTATTTTGAAGTATTTAGGAGGAAGTGAACTGTTGACTGCAATTTACTTTGAAATCATCAACGAATAAAGTTAAAAGGAGGCTAGACAGATAAGTGATAAAGCAAGCAGAGTAAAATGTTAATGGTATATGAGTCTTACTGTAAAATTCTTTCAGATTTGCTGTATGTTTGACAATTTTCATAATAAAATGTTAGGGAGAAATCAAAATGTGGATGTTAAATGAAATATGTGCTTTTTTAGTGAAATATTTTCCTTATGACTGACTTACATATTCTTTGCTCTATTATACAAACACACACACACTTATGCTACTCAAAGATATACTTTCATGAAAGTTGTCTCATTTAGAATGTTTTTAGCACCAAGTAAAAACAACAAAACCCAACTCACAATGGCTTATGGGACTTATTTCACATGAAAAGGATATTCTACCTTTAGAGGGTTGATTATTTTAGTGGCTCACTCAACAACATCAAAGAACTATGATTCTGCCTATCTTTCCATTTTGCTATCATCATAGTGATTTTCCTCAGGCTTTCCACCCCTTATGGTTTCAGAATGGCTACCTTAATTGCAGGAATTAAGGAGAGACAGAAGAGTAACTTGCAGTAGAAAAAGTGTACTCTAAATAAAAAGATAACAAAACCTTTCTCAGAAGCTTTCCAACACACATTCCCTAGTATTGGCCATAACTGAGTCACATGCCCACTCCTAAGCCAGTCATTGACAGGGGGAGTACAATGGACCTTTGTGAGTGATTAAGAACAGTGAGGATTTATTTAACTCACACTGGTGAAAGGTAGACCCTAAGACACAATCAGGGCTCTTCCAACATGAAAGAAGGGAGGAAATGCATACCAATAGTATATGCTACATGATAAATGAGTGAGAAGAGATTAGAATCTCTCACAATAATTCATATCTATAGTTAAAACATAATAGGGGGAGGGAGGGTTACACATAACATGCATCTCCTCCCAAAGCAGATGAATTGAAAATGTGCAAGATACTGCTTTGATCATGTAGGTCTGGTTATACACTTCTCTTTTAGTGGTTAGAGAGGGTTATGAGATCTTATCATGACCTAGATGTTGTTATAAGCACTTTTTTATGTGTGGATTAATTTAATCCTGGGTATAATTTTATGAGGTAGGTACTCTTACTATCTGCATTTTATAGATGAGGAAACTAAGTTAGCAAGAGAATAGTTTGCCTAAAGTCACAAAGTAGAGCCAGTATTTGAACCCAGATGATCTGTCTCCAGAGTCACTTAAACGCTGTATTATATTACTGTTAGGAGATTGTGGATGCTGTAGGACAGTATGGATTGTTATAATATACTCCTTTCCTTCAGTAACTTCAGAATTTCATTTTCATATCCTATTAAAGTTAGCAAGCCATTCAAAATCATTTTACCTAAGTTAAATATGCAAGTACACCATGATTATTTGCTACAACATTTCAAAATAAAAACTAGAAATATTTGAATGAAAAATGAAAGAATGTAAGAATTGTTATTTATGTTCTAATATTAATATTTTTCTGTATCCAAAATCTTTGTAAAGATTAAGTTGACTAATGTGAAAATAGCAGTTTAAATACTACTGGAAAAGAAATTTTTTTAAAATATGAATACCATGAATATTAGAGATATTTATCTTGAATATTTTTTAACCAATCACACCAAGAAACTATCCAGAAGAGTGATTAGAATTTCTTTAAAGAACATGAGAAAAATCGAATTGGGCAATTTCATAGGAGGTGGATGATGAGTGTGAAAAGGAAAGTAAAAGTACACAGTTAACAGTTTTGGCTGCTTGAACATGTGCCTGCTGTATGTACTATGTCCCTAAATCTGTTCAGGGTCAAGAATTGAAGAGGCCTGACCAATATACAGCCCATCTTGTAAAACTACAGCCTGAAGCAAGCACTTTAAAAAAAGCATGACACTTTCTAAAGGTTATAAAGAGTAAATAAACCATCAAATTACTCCTCTTTTATTGTTTTTGTAAAAACACTTAAATCCTTGTAGTCCTAAGGCATCTAATAAAAAATAAACACTTTTAAGATTCTATAGGATTCTATATTCTGGGATACTTTATTGAAGTTAGAGAGAATTTACTTATAAAATTTAATATATTTTTTTCTCACTGACAATTTCATAGTTTTTATTATTAACTTTAAAACCTGCCTAAAGAACAAATAGAAGAAAAAAATGAAAGTTCCAATAAAAAGTTAAATAGCAATTTTTAATAGAAAGTATGAAGTTAAATTAAAATCCTAATACAGCAGAAGTATATTATAAAGCTATTTTTCAGCAATGTGGCTAATACCTATTTTATCAGTTTTCCATGTGGTATAAAGATATACATACATATTCTACAAGTCATACGAATGAGAAAGGGGTATGAGTCCACTCATAGCATAACTAATTTTATGGGGCATTGAAATGTTGCTTAATGGTATTTACCACATATTATACCATTAATCATCCAGTTTTCCCTCACAATTTTCTTCATAAACCACTATTATTTTTAGACTACCCAAATCTCCATTGAATTTTATTTATTGCTAATTTAGAACTTCAGGATTTACTCCTATTTAGATATTTAACAAATTTAATGTGTCCTTTATCTGA